CAAAACACATCTAAAAAAGCCAGACCACTTCTGGAAAAGCATTTTTTAGACTGATGAAATTAAGGTCAACCTGTACCAGAATGACGGGAAGTAAAGAGTATGGAGAAGGCTTGGAACAGCTCATGATCCAAAGCATACAACATCATCTGTGATACATGGTGGAGCAGTGTGATGGCATGAGCGTGCATGGCTTCCAGTGGCACTGGGTTACTGGTGTTTAGTGATGATGTGACAGAAGACAGAAGCAGCCGGATGAATTCTGAAGTGTATAGGGATATACTCTCTGCCCAGATTCAGTCAAATGCAGCAAAGTTGATTGGGAGGCACTTCATAGTACAAATGCATGATGACCCAAAGCATACAGCAAAAGCAACCCAGAAGTTTTTGACGGTGCTGGGCTCCTGTTGGTGGCTTGCAGGTAAGCATCTGTTGCTAGTTGAGGAAGTGGAGAAACACCTGTCAGTCATGTCACTAACTAGTGAGTACAGTGACTGACTCCCCGCGGTAGGGCAGTTTTGTAGCAGCGCACACACAAACACTCTGTGGTGTATAATAAATACACCGCATGATAGGGATTAGAGGCAGGCTAATTATAGACTCTGTATAGCGCACTGACGCTCCTCTGGTACAGTAGGCCCGTCGCAGGAGGGGAAGCCCACACTGGGTGTGTCAATCACTCGTCTGGAATGCTCACTGCTTCAAAACCTCCTCTCTTTACCTGTCTGGGTGACAAGTAAACTGTTGTAGAGAGATCACAATCATGTTTATGTTCCTGGCGGCTCCTTTCTTATAAAACATGCTTGTTGTGTTGGTAATGATTACTTCAGCAGATTTAATATAAATTAAGTGTCATCTGAGACTGTAGATATTGAAATGCCATGCAATTTGGCGTCAGCAATATTTATGAACACCTGATAAGTCTCAGTATTCTCAAGGGTGAAATTAATGTACAAACATGATTTAAAAAAAATAATATTTATATAATAAGACTACAAATACATTTTTTTCACTTTTTTTAAAATGTGAAATTTGTAAGATTTTTTTTGCCAAAGATTTTTTTTGTATTCTCTTAACCCAGTTTAATGTTCATTGCATGCCATTCATGGGTTTATCTTCCTCAAAAGTCTACACATTGAGCCTCCCAGGCACCATCAGAATATTCAGAGTGATCTGCTCAGACCTGTCAATCATTCCAGTTCGACCAACAGTGAGAGTTTGGGGCGTGGCTATTGAAGACTGAGCCAGAGGCCAGTGTGGGACCATAATGCCGAGTTCACGCTGCACGATTTCAGCCCCGATTTTCACTCGCCGTCAGGTTTTGCGAAATCGCCAAAAAATGCCCAAAATCGGAGGCTCGTTCACGCGAGTGACAAACATGCAGTGTGAATTATCAAAGACACGATCTGAGAGATTCGCTGACGCCTGTGAAATATTTGGCATGCTAAATATCTGGACCTGTCGGCGATTCAAAATCCTGCTGTGTGAAATGAGTTCTGATTGAAAAATACATTGGTGATGACCTATAGAAGGGCTGGACGATTAATCGAAAAGAAATCGAAACCGAAATTCAGAACCTCTAACCGACGTAATTTCCCCATGTCGGTTATTTTGGTTTTTTAATCCTATTAATAATTTCCCCTTAAAAAACATACTACCACTTGTGTAGTTGGGCGCTATATGACTGTTGCGCTCACGACTTTTGCAGCGGCTTGCACGTGAGTTGCGTGTTAAAAGAATTTATACTTTTACACGCAGCACCGCTCATCAATGTAAGTTCCAAAACAGTGGAGCAATCAGAAGACCCCGGAGGCGGGGCAATAAATACATTGTTTCCTTCAATTATTTTAAAATAACAAAGATTAAAAAATGCACTCGAAAAAAAAAATCCCACCTTTAATAGTTGAGTATATTTACGGTACAAACCTTTAATGAACTATGAGGGCAAAAAAATGTAAATAAAATAATAATCATACAATAATTGTAATCGAGGTAAGTGTTCAATTAATCAAGGTTTTGATTTTAGGTCATATCGTCCAGCCCTAACCTACAGCCTATGAGAAAGCAAGATACAGGGCAACGGGAAGTTCGGGGAGGAGTTATATGAAACGTAGTTTGCAGACCAGACAGAGTTGTCTGTGATTCTTCCTATTGTCATGCAGTGTGTAACCTCCTGTCGCCGATCCACCGTGCAATATGTGAACACAGCAGCAACTGAATGCTACCCCAGATAGTCCTGCAGTGTGAAAACAACGGTGATTCGATGACTTTGAAAATCAGGCAGTGTGAACTCTGCATAACTGACACGTTACACTCAGATTTGGTACAGAAGTGCAAATCAAAGTTCAAAGACTTATCACAATGTGCAGAAACAGGCAAATAGGAAAAGTAAGGGTAAACACTGGCAGTGTTCTTACAAGATGGAGGAATCTGATGCCAAATTTGCAGTTTCTTCTCAAAAGCGAAGCTAAACACAAATGTTAGCTCTTAACTGTCAAGCCTCATATAAAACAGTAAGATACTGTGATGCACGAGTAGCACCGAAACGGCATACTTAACCTTTAAAGCAAATTTTCACTGCAGTTAACCATTGCTAAATTAAATACATGTGATGTATCTCACTGTCAATTTTTTAAGTAGATGCCGGCTTATTAAAAAAAGGAGGCAAAACTACTTGAAAGGTATTTATGCTAATATAAACAGAAGGTGCTTTAGAGGTGATATCCAGCACATGAACAGCCAGCCACTCGATCTTGTACATTTTCATAACAAGCAGAGCTGAAGTCTTTCCTCACAAAGCCTTCTTGTAATACAGCACACCTCTGTGAGGCGAAGCATGAAGGTTGCACTCTGTGCAATGCAAATGTCACAGGGAAAGCGGGGACGTCAGAGCTTGAAAACGTCCTCAAACGAGCGTGTGTTCTGCCTACCCAAACGTGACAGCATAAAAAGAGCAATGTTTACTAACTAGGGTGATGAACCCCCTGTTGAGCCCCCTCCCCTCCTCAAACAGCTCCGTCTACGGCAGGAGCTGATGACAAACACATTTCTGAACCCGCTTTGTTTATTTCATTTTTAACCTACTGTTTTGAGAATGAATGACACGAATGAGGTAATCATTATAGTCATCATACTCCAAATAGGAAAGATTGATTGGACAGCAGCCAGCGAAGCGTATACAGTGCTGTGAGAGGTGGAAATGCAGTAACTCCGCAAACAAACATCCAGCTCACGTACCTGTGAAAAACAACTGAATGCATTGGGCCAGAGACGCTGAGCTGAACTCTACAGTTGTTATGACGTACATGCACATTACTCACAACACCACACGGGAAGCTTCTGAGAACGTCTTGAGCTGAGGCTGGGGATCTTTGTATGCTAACAGATTGGAATGGAAATATTTAGCCTCATTACAAGATTGGTAAGACTCAGGCAAACCAAGAGGAGCGCCAAGATACAAGAGTGCGCTTGAAAATATTTAGTCATGCATTATTCATTATTGTGATTCCTCTCCTGCCTCTAAGCTCATTTCCAGAGTACCAGCCATAGGCACGAGACACAGAAGAATGATTTTCACACTTGAGTTGCCACAGAATTGCCAAACACTATTCACACGAAAAGGGTTTCTCCCAAATGGGAAAGGTTGTGTCTTTAAGTCGGTTGCAGTATTTAAAGAAATAGTTCACCTCAAAATAAAAATTCTGCCATTACTCATCCTTATGTTGTTTAGAACCTGTATGCTGTTTTTCCTAATTTTCTTCAATGACATACAAAGGAATAGATTTTTAAGCTTTAATAGATTTTTAAGAGAGAGAGAGAGAGAGAGAACAAACAACTGAACTAGGGCTCACCAGAAGCGGCTTTACTGACGAGATGCGCATGAAAATCGGATTCGATTTTTTTGCAAAAACCTAAACTGAACATATGTTGTTTTTGGTAGAATTAAAAATTCAAACTAATTTTAAAAATATCTACTTTGTGTTCCACAGACAAAATAAAAGCATTTGGATTTTAAATAATAGGGTGATTTCAAATAGCAATTTGATAGAAAAATCCTAGAAAGAAGAAGTGTGCAGGACATATTTTACCACAAAAGTCAAAAATCAAACTTTTTTACCTCTAAAATTTTGAGGTAAATTTTGAATTAAGAAAATAGAATTCCACCTAATAGTCACTGCATTCTAATATTATTTTCAAGACAATTACATGTATTTTTAAAATTACATTTTAAAGTATTTATTTATCAAATCATATATTATATTGCAAAAATAATTATTTTATTGATAAACTTTAATTAAAAAACCAATATAAGAATTATTAGAATCATAATTAAATACAGATGCATCACAGTAAAACTTGCGTATTTGATAATATCACAAACCGAAGAAATTCCTAATGCAACCTAAAAGTAGATTACATTTCTTTATGCAAAATATGACTTATCTTTTGGTTTCTGGGGTGAGATTCATTTGAATAATAACAGCATTTTAATATTTATGTGAAGTTGGACTATCCAGTTAATATTATATTAAACTGCAGTGGGTTTGTTTTTATGTTTTACATTCCTTACATATAGATGTTCAACATCAAAATGCCTGGGAACTACTCTGTTTTAAAGTGATAGAATGATCCTGAAGAGGGAGTCAAAAACAAACAGCTTCAACAAATCAAGATGTCAGCTGCACACGGCAATAATGATCTGTGATTCAGACATGAAGTCATCCCACACGCATCTGATTAGAGCATCTCAAGCCACATTCTAGCCTCTCCGAGTTGCAAAACACTTGACCTTTGAAAGTCAAAAAGCACTTTAGAGTACATTATATCAGAAACCCCTTGCACTCCAAGGCTTAAACATAGGAGAAGCATCTTAATATTTACTTATTCTTGGCCTGTCACACACTCAAAGCACTACAGGCATTCAAAGGCTCTCTCTCTAGATTACAAGGTCTGCGAATTTGGATTTGAGAAGCATTGGACACTGAGTAAAACTTGGCATTTACCTTGGTTAGAGGTATCGTTGCTATCTCCCCTGCCTTTTCAGACCTGCAAAAAAAGAAAGAAAGAAATAATGTGCTTTGATTATAAGTGTTGTATAAGTGACTATATGTGTAGTCATGCATATTACTCTCAAACGAGAGATACTTTGACTCTATGACACTAAAATCCAGTTCTTTTATTACTCCAGTCACACTGAAGAACATTCTAGTTAAGCGGTCAAAAGCCTAAAGGCAAGGCCAAAAGGTTGCTGCATGTGGAGCATGGAGTGAATCTGTTACAAGCCTCCGTAAAAAAAAAAACTTTTCTAGGTTTGGTCCACAGGGTAAAATGTACCTCCGATCTTTCAAACAGTCACCCCTCTGGGAATGTGTGGACTGATTCTCCATTCCATTTTCATTCACTGTTGTGTCTTATAAAGTCCTTGCTTTTGGCTCAGTCCCTGTGTCTTTGAAATTCAAATAATTTTTTGTCTTTTTTCTTTGCGGCTTTGTAGCTAGAGGGCTGTATTTCAGAGCTACTAATCTGCTTTTGGAGAGAGGAAGCCTGCAGTAATACTTGATGTCTGGCCAATTTCAAATCATCCAGGAGGTTACGTCTGAAAGCAAATCAACGGAGGAGATTTGACCACATACATGGCAAAAATGGCAGAACTAACCTTAAATACATTGTTTTGTTCCTCGTTGGCCAGAAAATCATTTGGCAAGTGCTTAGCTTCAGGCCAGCAATGAGAAACTGCACTGACTTACTGCTTTCACTTCATCTCAGTCATGTTTTAACTTCAACAAAAGGGGCGATATAAGTCAACTAACACAGGAACTCACTGCTCTGTCCTTCCATACGGCACAACTAAGAAGGTCTGGAATACCTGATTCCAAAATGAACTAAAATAAAATAAAAATTACTTCAATTTTTTTGTTAGAATTTTTAATGATACATAATAAAACTTAAAACTTTACAAACCCCCTTCATTAAAAAAATAAATAAAAAATCCACTAAATATCAATAACTCCAGATTGTGCTAAGAAATTTACTACCATTAAAAATATATATTTTTTTAAATAAATGTTTATTACATTATTAAATGTTTACACACCTCTGTACCCATAAAATACAAAAATAAATAAATAAACAAATAAATAAAATTAAAAATTAAAACCAATTGCAATTGTGAACTATTGTGAAAACTAACAAAAAATCAATTTAACAGTTTAAAAGACAAATAATAAATAAAATATAATATAATATACATACAATATAAAAACCAAGTTGTGATATAAGCAGACAGGAAAAAATATGTCTATTTCATGATTTTAAGGGTAACACTTTAGTATAGGGACAAATTCCCACTATTAACTAGTTGCTTATTAGCATGCCTATTATTAACATATTGGCTGTTATTAGTACTTATAAAGCACATATTCTGCATGACCATATTCTACATCCCTAATCCTACCCAATACCTAAACTTAACAACTACTTTACAAACTATTAAGCAGCAAATTAGGAGTTTGAGGCAAGAGTTGTAGTTAATGGTTTGTTAATAGCAAGAATTGGACCTTAAAATAAAGTGTGTCCATTTTAAGAGCACTTCAAAAATCAATTAATCAATCTGGCATTGAGAAAATTAAATATATGAAACACTGAAGCCTTACCATTGTGTATTTTGCAAACTATTTTGTTTCTATTTTGAATGGCTACAAATGGAGACAGATATGGGTTGTGCTATCCAGCTAAACCTCGTATATAAATATTCTTCATTTGCGGATTTTATTAATAACCTTTTAATTACCCAATACGCCCCATGTTCTTCGACTAAATAAACTGGCACACGAGCATATAACAACCAGGGTAAGGACAGCAGATCAATATGAACAATGGCATTATCAAATTCAGTCCAAAAATAATAAATAATTATAGAAAATACCTCTGCTCCAGTTGTAAAAAAGTCTTAACGACTGTAGACAAATCAATCGCACGGCTGACAATATAATTGCCTGCGTGGAAGAAATATCGAGTAGCTCCACTATAATGCTTTAATTGAATTGAAAAAGCAAAGCTCTGAGTCAGTGCTTAGAATCCATCAGCTGTATATAATCAATGAATCCAGAGGTTATCAAACGCAAGGCAACGTCTGAAGCAGGCTGACCCTCTAGCTGTGGGGTAATGCCTCTGCCTGCTAAAGTATATTTCGTCTTCAATAATGGAGGTCGCCAGATGAGAGGCAGTCAGGCCTTTAAAATATTTAACCCCGGCTTTTGTAAAAGAGACGCATAATGCAGTGGAAATGACATTCTCTGTAATTGTGGCGCAAATGAATTTCTCTTGGCTTTAATTATTTCTTTCCTCCCACTCCCCTGGAGTCCTCCTCTCTGCAGCCAGAGGATTGTGCGAAAGGTTTCGTGTCTGACCTCCATTTTTCAAAAATTTCAACAGTTCTGCCGGGAGACCGAACGCCCCACATTTCCCACCGAATCCCTTGCGTCCACACACCCAGGTGTGGACCGCATTGTCCCCAGGTCTTTGTGGTGCAGGCAAAAACCTAGAGAACTGTGTGCACATTTGAATAAGGCGACGTAGTCAAACTGCTGTTAGGGGACCATATGAAACGGCTAATTGAATCGAATGGGCAAATGAAAGCCTAAACTGAATGTGAAGCAAATTATGAGATGAAATCTACCAGTACAGCTTTTGGAGAGCCTCAAGAGAGTCTCACTACACATGAGGGGAGGCTTTTACTCATTAGTGAGTTGTAGATCTGATGCTGAGAGTGAGAATTACAGCGAGCAAGAGAGAAAGACGGTCACGATAAAGAAAGACAGATGATGAATGAGGTACTTATTCTGGGATCAACTCGTAAACATGCACTTGAAACCCGTAAACAAACAGCTACATATTGATTTATGTGTAATTGCAAGTTAGATGACATGCATTCGCAGATGCAGCTTATACTACGTGCGTAACAACGTACTCACATGCAAGCAGTGCTTTACGACGACCTCGAACACATTTGCAGTGAACTTCAGCAGATTTTATTTTCGAGGTACTTATGCACCTGATAATGGTGTTTAAGCAGGCCAGGCTCATGCAGTGCATCTTTTAACCTCCAGGGGCCACTGTTGTTCTGCGGATCTCTCACTCAAGAGTCCCATCATTCCCTCTCATAACTACCGCCGACACCTGTCGTCATTAAGAAAACATTCACATATTCAAAAAGCAGGGGTGTGCAGACAGCTAAATTAAATAATTGTCAAAACACTGACATGAAAATCTGTTTCACTGCGAATATAATGGAAATATTTTGTGTGAAAAAAATCAAGTGGCGGGCGTGTTTAAGAGCAAGCCTTCAATTTTCCCCTTGATTTTGTGTTTTTTAAATTATGCCTGATACGGCACCTTTAGATCCTGTTTGAATAGTTCGAACGGTCTTAGTCTTTTAAGAGCGCCAACAATGGCTTTCAAAGTAAATTACAGAGTAGGGGGGCCTTGGAGTAAAATTGCAGTCTAGTAAAGCTTTACTTAAAAAAAAAAAAAAAAAACTCCACAGATGGGTGAACGGAGTTATGCGGCTCACTGAATTCCCTGTCAGAGTTACATCACACACACACCCAAAACACACTTTCATTTTATTCCAGAAATCCATTTCCCTAACTCCATCTTTCCGCTAGTTTGGAGCTGGCTGGATTACCTCGACAAACCCGGCTGATATAAACAGTGGATGAGAGGGGATGCGAAAAGCAGAACTCTGCGATCTCCAGGTGGCAGAATCCATCTGCAGAGAGCTCGAGATGGAGGGAGGGGTCTAAAACGAGACCGTTTCTGAGGGAAAAGCTTATTTACAGGGTCCTCACCTGCTTAAGTTCATGCTTAGTCAATCATACGACGCTCGGCGCATCGCTCGAGGTGAGTGTCGGGGTGAAAACGGCTGCATGAGGAAGCATCTGGGAGCGAAGAAACCGCTGACTGACGTGTCTAATCATGCTACTCTATCCACCGTCACACAAACAACTCTGAATCATTAGGGCCAGAAATCTATCTGCTTGTATTACACATGACACTGATCCGAACGGAGCTCATTTAAATATTAATACATGCCTCATACATAAACAAGTACTGTAATGTATGAATTCCTAAAAAAAAAAAGACTCCTGCCTAGGATGTTCTCCATTTCCCCCGTCACTGATAGAGCCAAGGAGACAACGATTAAAAGAGCGTGAGCGATGTTCGGATTCAGTCTGACTTGCGTTGTCATTCATTGTGCGACTTGTTTTATTGGGCTGTAATTCTTCGTGACTGGTACCGAACGCGCTCTAATTCGTTATCTGCCATCATGCATTACAGAAAGAAGATGTGCTTTGAACGCAGATGTATAACAGCAGAATACAACAGTTCACAGAGCAAAACTAAAGTGGCACAGCTAACCTCAATTTGTTTTCTCACACTGAAACTAGAACTGGTATTTGTTAAAAAAGACTTTGGCCCATGAAAAACAACACCTGGTAGGCTACACTAAGGCAATCTTGACAGTAACCTTCAAGTATCATGTCTCCCGAGACATCTTTACAATTGTTGTACAAGAACCTCAATGCATGTAGATATAAATTTATATGTTCGTGTGCATGTATGCACTCACTCCTCTAGGGATATGTTGGAGTAGATAAATGTGTGTGCTGTATGAGTCGTCTCTGTTTGTCCTGCGCTGCTATTTAAGAGTTTCTCCTCCAGCAGTGACTCCACGGCCATCTGGGGAACAATCTCTAAAACTGCCCAACACCTGCGAGAAAGAGAGAAAGAGAGAGAAAACAAAAGGTAGATTTTCAAATGATACATATGGTTCATAACACAATAAATATATTATACAACATAAATATATGATATAAAGATATCACTACAGGTATAAATACATAAAACATATAAAATGTATTATTATTAAATATATATAACAACATAAAATATTAAATGGCACGTGCATAATACATTACATGATACGCGACGAATTATGAAAAACATACATTGCTGTTTATGTTCATATACTACATAAAACAACTACAAAATACATAACCCCCCCCAAAAAAAAATCCTGTTGTTTGTGGTCAGTAAGAATTTTTGGAAAGAAAATTATACTTTTATACAGCAAGACTGCATTAAAATGATCAAAAGTAACAGTAGAGACATTCTGAATGTTACAAAAAACAAACAAACTAATCTATCATGATTTCTACATTGTTAATAATAAGAAATGTTTCTTGAGCAGCAAATTAGCATATTAGAATGAGAATGATTATAGAGATGATATTATTAAAATGATTTCTGAAAGATCATGTGACACTGAAGACTGGAGTAATGATGCTGAAAATTCAGCTTTGCCATAATAAATATAAATTACATTTTAAATTATATAAAAAACACTGTAATAATACTTCACAATATGTTACTGTATTTCTTGCTCAAATTTGAGCATTGAAACTTATAAAAACTATCAAAAAACATTAAAACATAATCAAATTTTAAAAAAAAGTTTCAATGGAGATATATGCATTTTGCATGTTTTCATGCCACATATACATATTACATGCTAGTGGGAGAAAACCGATTCCAGACATCATGCAGGAAGACGTCTCTACAGCAGATAGAACATCTTTTCCTCAAAGCTTTGATAATTAATGCTTAAAGTACTACAACACATTCTTCAGAAAAAGCTCTGTGCTGAAACAGCCTGTGCATCCAATGTGTTTCCACAATCTAACCGAAGGTTTGGGAGGAGCATGTTCATGTAACCCTGCCAATCATGATGCAGGTGTACGCATAAATTAATGGCTCGCTCTTGTGAAAATGTATGCAGCAATGGCATCCCTCCACCCCACCTGTAATACATTTTTAAGCATTCTTGAACTCTCCATCAAGCCAAATCTGTCTGTCCATATTCCACTTAAGGATTATATTAACGTGAATATCTTGACACTTTACATATGCACCAAATCCCACTGCACCCTCCCTTCTTACAACCTGTGAATCTCATGAATACTATTGCAGTTCTGTTCCATCATGTGACGTCCTGCTATTGGCACATTTCCTATGCGGGCCACGTTTGTTGCAGGGGGACCCGGTTTAAATGTGTAATGGCTTCGGATTTTGTCGTTATCAGTTTTAGAGGACGGACAAGTATTTCTGAACTCCTGCAGCTCTCCTAATCAAAAGTGTGCCGGACAAAGAGGAAGTTATTATCTCTGGATATGAGTGCTTGTGTTTTCAAGTAGACCCCCCTGTACCTGGGTGTTTCACGCAAAGCCGATTATGTGCAGGTCTGCATCTCTCTCACACCGTGAACCTTGCGGTGATATTTCAGCGAGAAAATGGGTCAATGCCAAGCATCGGCAGGCTGCTGTTGCATATTAATGATGAAGCTTGGCTGTGACAGATGAGATTGGCCCACAAGGGTCCTCTCTCTCTCTTTCTCATACACACATGCACTCTCATTCTCTTTGACTACTTACTCTGTTACGAAACCTAGTGAGCTGCCTCGATGTCTACTGCCTAGTAGGCAGCAGCCTTATAAAGCGGCATACTAACTGACATGGAAACACATATGCGACTGATTTGGAACGCTCTATATGTGGAGCACATAAATAACAAAGCACACGGGAGACTCGACTCACAATTGATTCGTTTGATCAAAGTTCTTTTAAGGCAAGTCAGTTCACTCTGCAGCCCATTGTTAGAGTCACTACTTGAATTAGAAAAGACCAAAAATGTTCCAATAATATATATTTTTTGAAAGAACTTAATATTTTTATTCAGCAAGGACACATTATTCAAAAGGTGACATGATGGCTTTTTACGTTCATATAAGCAATCATATTTAAAACTACAATTAAAATTTAGTTTTTTTAAACTTTCTATTCATCAAAAAATCCTGAAAAATATCAGTTTCCAAAAAACAAACAAACAAAAAAAACTATATTAAACCACAAATTTCACCAATAATAAGAAATGTTTCTTGAGCATCAAATCAGCATATTAGAATGATTTCTGGAGGATCATGTGACACTGAAGGCTGGAGAAATTGCTGTTAAAAATACAGCTTTGCCATCAAACTTTATTTCTGTTTTTTATATATTACAAAAATATTTTCCAATTTTACTGTTTTTATTTAGTTTTAATCAAATAAATGCAGCCTTGGGATAAGAGGCTTCTTAAAAAAAATCCAAATATTACTGACTATTACTGACCCTAAATTTTGAAAGACAGTGTATGCTCAAAAAACAACCTTTTTCTTGTTAAGTGTTTTTTCACTTAATTTTTTTTGCCACAAAGCATTCTGGGAAACATTATCCTTAAAAAATATATTTATTTATGAATTTAGCCAAAATATATCTTAAGAGGCAATATAATGGAACACGCTTGACACCCAGGATGCCTTAAAATGCTGTCTACATAGGCAGCTCACTAGGATTTTGAAAAAGAGCATACATTCCTTTATTTTGCTTTATATTTTCCTTTTTCTTAGGCTGTATTTATTCTCTTTTTTCTTTATTCTAGTCTTTTTTCCTCCTCCAAATCCATTTCTCACTTTATATATCTCATACTGGCATTCACTTTCTATCATCTGGTTCTCTTTCTGTCTCATTCTCCATTTCAGTTTCCTTTAACTCCACACCTGCTCTTTCTTTCCCTCTCTGTCCCGCTCTTCTGGGGTCTCGAGAGAATAAACATAAGATCGACTCTGCCGGCTTAATGTACAGAGAGGCTTTTGGAGTCGGTTCAGAGGAGACCTTGCTATGACTGAGAAGAATGATGGCACACAGTATAAAGCCATGGTGGCTGCTATGCTTTCAATCGTGCTGGCTTTACAGGACTATCGGCCTCTGTGCAGAGTTCAAGGATGGGGTCAGGCCATGAATCGATATCACCGCACCGTCTGAAATAAACTATACCTTGTGTGTTTCAGTCAAGACCTGTGATGAGTAAAAACAAGTTACTGGAGTTCAAAATGTTAAAATGTAGTATTAAACATCACACATCTTGAATTATGTTAAGCCTTCCTGTTTCTGTTAAGTTAATTGTCTTTGTAAGGAGAGGTTGTAGATTTATTTCGATTGTAGAAAGCATCAAAAGAAAACACATCTCCTTGCATAAAAAGACAAAAGGTCTCTTTCATTAGGATGTAAAACATTACAGCAATACAAAGCATTTTCTCAGCTTGATATGTATAGACCTTCAACTAAGAAAAAAACTAAGACAAATGTAAACTGCAGGCCAAGAGTCTGGAGTAGAGCTAGCTAGTCATTACTTTCATGACTTGGTGATGCAAGTGGCACAAAAGTTGCACATTTTACCTTTAATACACACATAAAAAATGAGCTGTTCTTAGACCAGTTTAGAGCTGCTTAAATCTCAATAAGGTCTCAAATGGGCAATGTTGTTTTGCTACTGGCACAAGCTGGTTTAGACAACACTCTCACGGCAGTTTGAACTAATCTAATGTTTTGGCAATTTAGTGGCTAATTCCCCTAATAAAAAAGTCATATATTTAAAATACATTTATTTCATACTAAATATAGTTCAAATCTATTAACATATTTACTGACATATCGCTCGACACGTACTGATATAAACATTTTAATTAAACTTTATTCGGAGTACTACTTGTGCACAACGCACATTTCTTAATATTAAGCATAAAATGTATATTAATGTCACTAATAAGGAGGATTGTGTGATCTTTGAATAATATCTTGTCTTTAAATGCAAGACATTTTAAGTGTACCTCAAGTATACTAGTTCCACTTTAGCACAATCAAATATACTTCAGTATATTTTTAGTTGGACTTCAGCACTACTTCTGCACAATTAAAGTGCATTAAGCACAAAATTAGTTGTTCCAATTTAGCAGGCTTTAAGTATACCAGATTAGTATAAAGTACAACTGCAGGGTATGTTTATTAAGTACATAAATATATAAAGGTATTTGTAGTATACTGAACATTAAATAAATGTATTTCAAATACATTTTTGTATTTTTATTTTTCACTAGGGTGATACGAATTTGTATGATTGCATTCATACATTTTCGTAAGATCTGCGTATGGCCCAGTGATGGTTAGGTTTGACGTGGGAACCTTAATGCTTTCAGTTTTTCTATAAAATGTACATTTCTGTATGAACTGCATTGTATGAACTCATTCAAAATAGACACCTTGTAAAATAGTTATGTTTTCTGATGATATCCGGTTGGTTTAGATTCTTATTGCCGCAGGTAAATCTCAGCCGACATATTTGTGTGGTGGGTTAAAAAAAAGTCACAAACTTCTTAAAATGAGAAACAAAAATGTAAATCACACAGGCCTGTTAATGGAAAAAAACTTTCATTTTTTTATACAACAGCCTAACCAGTTTTATCATGATTGATGACCAGCAAAAACTTAAAAATTAAGCATTAAAAATTAAAAATAGAATATTTAAAGGTTTTAATTTAATTTAACTTTAAACTTAAAAAAAGGAACTGGTCAGTACCTTCTAAATCAGGTATAGGTGGTTTCTTCAGCAGGGTAGTTAGCAAAAAATAAAATAAAATAAAATAAATAAATAAAAATAATAATAATAAATAAATAAATGCACAAATATTCATTTTTTAAAATTAAAAACGAGAAATTAAAATGTAAAGAAAATGAGAACATGTATCAGCTTTCCTGAAGCAAAGTAAAACAATCTCTTTGAGAAACTGTAACAAGCAGGTTTGTGATAAGCAATATCTGAGAAACTCAGTCAAAGTAT